CTGGTATTGTCTGCTCCTCGGAGCAGATCATCTTCAAACCGGGCGTCTCCCTCACAGAGAGTGCAGGACATGGAGGCATTGTCTCCAAATCTTCCCGCGAGAGGTCCCGGGAAGCTCGGAGAGGGAGGCGCCTCCCTCCAGAAAAAAGTTAAAAAAGGCGGATAAGGCACTTCTAAACCCCATAAAACGTAATCTTCGCGTTGACCATTATACAATGGAACTGTCGAAGTCTTAGAACTAGAGTAAATGACCTCAGGTTATTAGCCTCGTCTTATGCTCCCGATATTATCGTCCTACAAAAGACCCATTTAAATAACCTTGTATCCGATGATTTAGTTTCGTTGAGTTACTACCATCTAATGTCGGGAAGGATCGAGGGTTAGGGTGGAGGCGGAGTCGCCATGTACATCACCAAAACCTCCTTTTACAGAAGTGACTATAGATTCTACTTTGGAGATAGTCGCATGCAAAGTAAAAGTCAATAGCACGTATCTGGCTATATGTTCAGTTTATTGTCCACCTGACAATGTGGTAATTTATGATGAGCTCTTTGCTCTTCAGGATAGTCTGCCACAGAATAAAGTAATTTTAGGTGATTTTTAATGCTCATCATACATTATGGGTTCCCTTCGGGGTGGATGAGGGTGAGCAAGTAATTAAGCTTGTTAACGATTCAGATTTAATCCTTCTGAACGATGGTAGTCCAACGCGAGTGGACGATAATACCGGTAATTTGAGCTATATTGACTTATCTCTGGTCTCTTCAACAGTAGCAGCCAAGTGCCTGTGGCACACCATTGACGACTCGTTGGGAAGCGACCACTTTCCTATTTTATTAAATATTCATGCGACACAACCAGAACGCCTTCAGCACCTAAATTTAATGTAAAAAGAGCAGACTGGGTCGCCTCCACAAGGAGCGTCAAGCTCGAACTTGTTGGAGAAACCATTGATGATAAAGTAAGCAATATTCAAAATTCTATTTTAGATGCAGCAATGAAATCCATTCCTAAGACTTCGACAGATAGCGTTAAGCATAGAGTTCCATGGTGGACACCAGATTGCCGCAGGGTACTGTGTGAACGCAATAGGGCCTACAGGCTTTTAAAAAATAACATCAATAACAAGAACTTTTGCAATTACAAACTAGCAAGAGCTAGGGCTCGTAGAACAATCAGACAAGCCAAAAGAGACTCCTGGCGAAACTTTGTCTCTAC